TGGTGCCATGTCAACCAAAGGTAAATTTCTTTATTAATGATGTGGGATCCATTTGAATAGATTTGGCACATAGTAACCTGACATGTCAAAATATTTGTCCATGTCATCACTTTTCTCAATTTCACTCTCCACATCATCAAAAAAAATATAAAAAATGCCACATAAGCGAAGTTAACGGTTCAAATTAACAAAAGGACTAACGGAGTGCATTTCTTATAGTTGAGGGATCAAAAAAGTGCAAAAAATTGTTAAGGGATCAAAAATGTGCATTTCTTAAAGTTAAGAGACCAAATTTAACATTTAACCTTATTATTATTATTATTAATGTTTTAGTATCTAAAAATTATATTGAATATTGATTAATTTAAAATCGAATCACATTTGATTTTATAAAAAAAAAACTCTTTTAAGATTTATTTCTATGCAAAGAGAATCTAACTCTTTTGGTTCATATCAATAAATTTATTTTTTTTAAATAATTCTTTTTATTTTATTTAAAAGTTTTTAATTAAAGTAACTTAAAAATTTAAAAGGATGAAGAGTGTTTGGGCACTTATGCCTGCATCGAGGGCACATGGCATTTCTCTAACTATATATTTGTGCAAGTTGACGTAATTTTCTGAATTTAAGATACCATCATGATTTGATTTAAATTTTATATTAATCTATTCACATCAGGCGATATTAAAATATAAATCATAATATGTGATTTTCTTTCATAATTTGCCTGTGACACGTTTTCCTGTGTATTACTTCGAAGTTAAGAAATAATATCATAAACTGATAATCAAAAGACAGTCATTTCAATACAAGGTGGGCAGGACAAAAATTTTGACCTTTAACAGGTACGCTGTTTGTTATGGTTGAAGAATAGAGGAACGGGAACGTGTTTTCTTCGTCTGATTGGCTGTTAGATAGACCCTCTCGATTGTTTGAAAACTTAATATCGAAGGAGTGCGTGTCTTGTTGATGGATAGCTGGTCTAAGTAGAGACTAGGTGCTGTTTTTTTTTTGGGTAAAAGACTCGGTGCTACATATGGATAGACCCTCTCGATCGTTTGAAAACTTAATAGCGAAGGAGTGCGTGTCTTGTTGATGAATAGTAGAAACTAGGTGCTGTTTTCTCTTTTTTGGGGGTAGAACCGTAGAAGACTAGGTGCCATATATGGAAAGAACATTTGCGAATGT